CTGTCCCCATACCCACTCCCATCCTCATGCCCCACTCCATCCTCATCCCCATCCCCATCCCCATCCCCATCCCCATCCCCATCCCCATGCTCCTCTCCATCCTCATCCCCATCCTCATCCCCATCCTCATCCCCATCCTCATCCCCATCCTCATCCCCATCCTCATCCCCATCCCATCCCCATCCCATCCCCATCTCCATCCCCATCCCCATGCTCCTCTCCATCCCCATGCTCCTCTCCATCTTCATCTCCATCCCCGTCCCTGTCCTTCCCACCAGTGCTGCCTGGGACTTTCTGGGAAGGCCGCGGCATGGCCACCCTGGCACAGAACAGTTGGGTTTTGCCACTGCAGCCCAACGAGCCCCCGATTCCTCCCCACCCTCTCCCGGGAGCCGGGTGGGATTGGGAGCGCCAGCTGGGAGACACGCGTGGCAAGCTCGGCCCCGGGGGAGGCTGCACGGGGGCATGCGTGGCGGTCCCGGGATCCGGGGAGGGACACACGTGGGAGACCCACCCGTGGGGGGAATCCTCAGCAGAGGGGGACCCTCTGCTCTAGGGAGGACACGGATGGGAGCTCCTGCCAAGGGGGCTGCTCCAAGGGGTGGGGATGCTCCAGCGCTGTCCGTGTCCCCGGGAGGGATGTGCATGGGGATCCCTTCCCTGGTGCGGGGGGCGTGCCAGCGGGGACCCCCACCGCGGGGACATGCAGGGGCTCCCCTGGCAGGGCTGGAGCGGGGTCCTGCCTTCTTCCTGCCTGCCTGGGGCTCCCGCCTTCAGCTTTTCCTCTTCACCTCTCCCCCTCTGCTTGGCTTACCCCTGCTTTCGGCCCTCCTGGCGTGGCTGAGGTGGCGTCGACTTTACAAATCTCTGGAAAACGAGAGCCTGAGCACTTGCGGGGCTCCGGCGACGCCTCGCTGTGCCACTGCCCACAGCTTGCCCCTGTGTTTTCTTTCTGTTCCAAGCTCCTCTGCCGGGCAGCCGAGATGCCCGGCAGGGAAAAGGCCAGCACAAAGGAGGCAAAGGCGACCAACGCCAAGTGGTGGTCGAGCCACGAGCAGGAACGCCCCGCAAGGAAGAGCAAGGTGAGGCCAGCAACCCGTGGGCATCGGGGGGTGCAGGCAGGGGGCTGAGCCCGCGGGGCAGGGGTAGGGGCTTGCGCGGGGGGACACGTCTGCTCGTCCCCCAGCAGCGCAACCTGACTGGGAGAACGAGCTGGGCTCCAGGATGCACGTGTCCGCAGCCGACGGCCGGGGCAACTTCTCCGGCGAGCACCACACCACTGTGTCGAGCGCCCAGAAACCCACCGAGCCGTTCCCGCCTCGCTGGCTCCCAGCACCTGGGTGAGGATGGGCAGTGCGCCTTCGGCTCCACCGTCAACTGGGAGAAGTTTTCCTGCCCAGCGATCGGAAAGCCACCGGGTGAGCCAAGGGACAGCCAGCTGGGACTCCTGCCTCTCCCCCGGCCAGACACCGATGGGCTTGTGCTTCCCTGCAGGACCAGCTGCAGTGTCTTCACTGGGATGGGCTGGAAGGAGGAGGGAGAACCCTCGCTCTTCATCTGGGCATGGGACACCCCTCAACAGCATCAGTGTGTACCAGCATCAGAGTCGGTAGCAGCTCTGGGCAAAGATGTTCCCAAAATCCAAACAAACTTCTTTTTTTTTTCCTTTAAACCCAACCTTGTGTGGTCTGTGGCTCTGCCCTGGGGAAGCTGGCCTAAAGCACTGCGGTAGGTGTGAGGCGAAGCTCTCGCCCTGTTATTCAGGGAAGAGGCTGGCCGCAAGAAAGCCCCTTTTCCAGCCCAAATGGGATGATGTATCCCCAAAGTGACCCTCTGACACTAAGTGCGGGCTAGCACTGGCCCCTGCTCGATGCCAGGTGGGTGTGTTGGCAGGGTAAGCTGGGAGGCCTTTCTGCACCCCAAAAAGCTCTCTGGGAGCGCCCCCGCCTCCGAGGCAGCCCTCAGGCAGGCAGCTGCAGGGTCTCGGCTGTGTCCATAATCCTGGTGAGCGGCAGGGAATGCTCTGTACCGGCAGCACAGCCCCAGTAGCTGTAGCACATCCAGCCCCAGAACTTTTCGTAGGGTGTGTGATTTACTGGAACACGGACACCCAGCAAAGCCAGCCCCAAACCCCCTGCCTGCCAAACTTTACGACTTGCTGCAATGGGCAGTGCCAGTATTGCCTCAGGCACACCTCCCAGCCAAAGTGAATGATTTCCAGGAAACTCAGCTCCAGCTCTGAATCTGAAACTTGGTCCTCAAGCTGCCCGGTCCCAGAGTAACCCCGGATGGTGCTGCCTGCCCTGCACTGGCACCCCGCTTGGGATTTGAGCAGCCAAAGGGCAGGAGTGGGCTGGTGGGGCTGCCACCTCCTGCTCCTCCACGGGTTTTCCTGCCACGGATGCCATGGGAGAGCTTTGCTAACAGCATCCGAGGCTTTAGCAAGTTTTCCACCTTCTCCGTGTCTCAGCCCACCTCACTGCAGACTTGCATGTGCTTTGGTTTTCACACTTTTCTCCCTTGGGTCCACCTTCTGCTTCTGGAGCAATGCTGCTGTTTCCTTCTCGGAGCCTCCCTGGAATTTCTGCAGCTTTGTCAGTTCCCTTACAGCCTTTCTGTAAGGCTTTCTGAGCAGAATGCCTTTATGCCAGCCCTCTGCTACGGTGCCCTTTGGACTGTGCAGCCTTGTATTTGCATTGGAGGAACCTGAGAATTAGGAAAGAGGGTGGCAGAAGGACCACAGGACTCTGCTCTCACCCCAAGGCGTGGCCAGCTCCATGGTGGGGCATCCCGCTAAGCCTGCAGCCTTACTGCATGCGTCCTCTTGATTTTATGATCGCCTTCATGTCAACATTTCCCTCAGGGAGGGCTCCCCGAAGGCTGTGCAGCAGTCCTGGGGTGCTCCAGCAAGGCAGCAAGGCTGGCCACCCTTTGAGCAGCCTGCAAACCCTTGCAGGCAGCCACGGTGCTGGTGAGAAATGCAGCAGGCACGGACTGGCAGAGCTGTTTGCAGGACCAGTCCCTATATCCGGGCACCCAGCAAGGCTGTAACGCATCCAGCATCTCAGTTTTGGGGTGGCATGGGATAGGACATGGTGTGAAGGGGTGCCCGCAGGGGTCTGGGGGAGGGCTGTGGCTGAGGATGTTTCCCCATGGGCATCGGGCGTTCATCAGGAGTGGGTTTTACTCAGCTGCAAGACCTGCTCACAGTGCTGGAGGGACCAGGTCGAGGGAGGTTCTCCTCCCTCTCTACTCTATTCATCAGGAGTGGGTTTTACCCAGCTGCAAGACCTGCTCACAGTGCTTTGCTGCTGTTCATGTCTGTTCTGCCCCTCTGAGCCACAAACCCAGCACCATTTTGCCTCCTTCCAGCTCGAGCTCATCGGCACAGCAAAGGTGAGCAGCAGCGTCCCCTTCAGCCCCGCTGCAGACCTCCCTCTGGGAGGAAAACCAGGCATAGCTGCTGCATGGCAGGCCTTGGTCATGGTCCACATGCTCCACAAATGCCTTCGGGACACGGGGAGCAGGAGGAGGCAGGAGCATATTGCTGCCATCATGTGCAGTGCATTGCTGCTGCCATGTCTGTGTCGCACAGGCGCTCACACATAGTGTATTGGTTAAAGAAAAAATAATTTGCTGGGATCTTGGCATGCTCAAATCCCCCAAACAGTCAGTCACTGTCTGGATGGAGAAAGACTCTCCGTTTCAGGGGTCCTTCCAGCACTTCCATGTCTTAAGCATGTGCAGAAGACTGTCCTATGGGACCATTTCTGCAGGGGCTGTTCCTATCGACTGTTTATGAATGTCTCAACACGGGACGTCTCAGTGCCCAACATCTCAGCGCCCAACATCTGTCTCAGTCCAGCTGTTGTGCCACCTAAGCAGATGGAGCTGGGGAGCTCCCAGGTCCCTCAGGGACACCATGGCTGGTTGGTCCAGGCATGTGCACAGGCACAGCCTGGTACCCAGCCACACTGCAGTGATGGCAAAAGAATAAATCTGATTTTCAAGCCTATAACTTCACTCACAAGTGAAGCCTCGTAGCTCCTGCCCCCTTTGCCATGTTCATGTGGCCGTGACTCCCACCAGCCCCCCAGCTCGGGACTGCACACCCTGCTCTGCTCCTCCACCTCTCTCCTTGCCCAGCTCTGGCTGCAGCCTTGCCAAGCTCAGACCGTCTTGCTGGGAGGATGGAGGAGCCCCTCAGCCAGGTCCCCAGCTCTTTCTGGGGCTGGCCAGGAGCTGGGGCATGCTCCTAGATGTGACCTGCATCCCCCACCCACAGCTGAGCTCATCATACGTACTCTTGGGTGGGTGGATGGGGCAACTGCGGCTTGTCCAGCTTCCCCTCTGCGGCTCCTGGGGGTGCCCACTCCTGCTGCCCTGCCTGCACCCCAGCTCTGCACCAGCCCCGAC